TTTGAGATACATTTGTTTCTGAGGAAGTTACACTTAAAGTTGGAGATGCACTTGATTCTGAGGAAGTTACACTTAAAGTTGGAGATGCACTTGATTCTGAGGAAGTTACACTAATAGGATTTGATGCTATTAATGATGTAAGAGCTAATCCATCTTTTTCTGAACTATTTCTTATAACAGAGATATTTTCAGAAGAATTTTGTTTATTTAAGTTAAAAAATGTAAGACTATAAATAATTCCATTACTTGCTAAGATAGCAAATAAAATTAATATAGTTTCAAATAATAGATTTATATTCATTTTTATATATATTGGTTTTGTTTCTAAAATTAGTATTAAATTTTTAAAATTTTATTTTTTTTTATTTAATAACGAAATGACTAAATTTAATTTATAAATTTAGTATATAATATATTATATTATAAAGATAATTTAAGTCAAAAAAACAAAAAAAATAATTTTTTCCGTTTTTTCTAAAATAATAAATTCTTATTCTCTTTTGGATTTAAACCAAAATTTACATCTTAAAGAGATGTCGTTCTATCATTAAACTAAGAGAATTGATTAAATTTTAATCCACTAACCGCCCTTCACAAATTTAAAATAGAATAATAAACCTATTATACTTTTAGGGATATTTTTATTACTTCTTTTATCCTAATAATTCTGTTTAAAACTATCAATTGTTTTTTTTTTCGCTTATCCTTTTAATTTTAAAGAAAAGGGGGTAATTTTTAATTTTCATATTTTTGTTTTTGTTTTCTTTCTTTTTGTTTTTTTCTTTCTTTTTGTTTTTTTATGAAAATATTTTTATTAAAATTTAAAGTGTGTAACTTTGTTGGTTTCCTGCTGATTGCCCATTGTACTATCTTTAAGATTTTCACTACCATGACTATGATGAGTACTTAAAGCTTTAGGGTGTTCCAGCATATAGTGAAGTTTAAGGAAGGCCCTATTTAAAACAATTATATTCCTAATTTATATAAAAAGTCTATATGCATATATGGTTTTACTAAGAAAATAACTCTATCCATACTAGTTTTAGATATTCTGATTCTGTATTTATTGTTAACTTTGTCTCTTACTTTTAAAGTTGATTTAATATTTAACTTTAATAGTAATGATTGAAGGATTATACATTCTTCTTTAGTAAATGATTCAGTGCAAAGAAGAAGTGTTTTAGTTCTACCATGTGAGTCAAAATAACCGTCATCTATTATTCAATAAGCTAAAGATATTTCTGAGTATATTTCAGAGATATTTAAAGGAACAATTTTTACAAACTTGTTTTTCCCATTATCTCATTCATATCACAATTCATGTAAAGCTGTAAAAAAAAAGATGTGTTTTAGTTCTAAAATGATATTGAGTTATTTCTTTTCCTTTATGTTGAGGAAGTGATTTATTCGGATAAGCATAAAATTTTGTATTAGTA